ATAAATTAAAAATAATAATAAATAAAATCTCATTACCTATGTAAATACAAAAAAAAAAAAAATAGAGTGGAATTAAATGGAAACTGTTGGGTGACTTATATTTTAATTCAGAAGTGACTGGGAGTACTTGGTGCGGTCAGGTGACTCTGTCCACACTAGCCGATGTGACAGAGCTGGGAACATCCCGGTTGCTGGATTCTGCTTCTTATAGGCTTTTGTCCGCTCCACGCAGGCCTAGGCAGAAGGTTTGGGGTGCTGGTGGCCCCAGGAGGATATGCAGAACCACGAGTCTGGTTCTCAGCTTCCTCATTTACAACATGGGAACAAGCACGATCTGTAGGTTGGCCTTGAGAATTAAAGAAACTAATATATTAAACACTTCTGTGATCCACTTCTACATAAACTTAGAATTTGTCTTTTATTGAACTTTGAGATGATAAACCCGTGTAAGAGCGAGCTGTTTTTATTCCCCTGGTTTGGAGCAGGTCCAGGGGAGGGCCTGTGACAACCTACTTACAAGGTCTGCCCCCACCAGGTGTGACTCACAAGGGACACAACCTTTCCCCTTGACGTGAACGTAAGCGATCCAGTCAAGTCCCGGACTTCCCCACGGCAGTTAGTTCCATGCTTATAAATAGTAAACATCAAGTTTTTTCAAAAGCTGTTTCTGACATCCTGCTTTGCTGGGGCCTGGAGAATTCCCGGTGTCCTGACTGGTCATCTGGGGGCTGTCTGAGGACAGCCAAGGACCCCACTTGGCTGCCCGGGAGCCTTGGGATTGCAGGGAGCAGAGGGACTGGGAGCCCTGTTTCCTGTGCCCTGTCCCTTAGGGAACACAGTGACACCCCCTATTCCAGACCATCTCTCTCCTTCAAATAAGATTGCTTCTGAGGTTCAATTTAGGGTGTAAATCAGCAGACGTTATTAGAAGTGAAAATAAGTGAGAACGTTATCTGAAAAATGAGGAAAATGAATGCTTTTTGTCTCATAAAACATCATGAACAGAGGCCTAGACAGGGAGGCAGAGTTGTAAAGAACACGGCCTCAGGGACAGATGACTGGGGACTGGAGTGGGGCCGGGTTACTCCCCATTTTCAATTTCTGTATTTCTTCCAGTCCAAGAACCCATTGAATAGGGGAAAAAGGGGGAAATCTGTAATACTTTCAATAATAAAGATAAATTAAAAAACACATTAGTTATTTAAAGAACCTTTGGGGTGGGGAGGTGAGCATAACTGCCTGAATTGATACCATTGGTACATGTTAATCGAACATGTATCTTAGAATTACAGAAATACAGTGCTTAAGCAGTATAATTCCTTATCTGTTAAAAATATGGTAATGCCAATATAATGGTGTCTAGCCTGTTAGAAATACGATCACACTAACACCTACCCCTTGGGTTGTTGTGATGGTTAAATGAGATAATACCTTGCACAGTGCTGGCGTGGTGCGGGCACATGGCAAGTCCTGACTGAGTGACAGCAGGCATGGGAATGCAGAGCGCCCCCTTCCGGGCGAATGGTGTCTTTATAACCTCGCTAGTCAAACGCAGTATTCACTAAGCACTTATTAGGTGCCTACCATATTTCAGGCACTCAGGGGTTATTTATATTTATGATAGTAAATGACTTCTACTTTCCTTATGTTCCGAAGGCATTTGAAAATTCTGTGTGGGGGAACTTAATACCCACTGGGTCACCAATTCTCAGTAACGTATTAAAATCAGGGGAGTCTATAAAAATGGATGATTTTATGTTCAGAGTAACTGTCCTGATTTTGCTAATGTAATTTTGTATTTGTTTTTTTTTCAGAATCCAGTTTTCAAAGAGAAATCATGTGAGTTTGAAAATCACATCTATTTCTGAAAACAAAAACAAATGAAAATCAACCAAACAGCACCACCTACACACACACACACACACACACACACACCCACACCCCCACATACCTGAAGGATTTTAGGGTTATGTCACTCAAAATTAAGTCCTGAAAATGGACAGCTCTGAAAAACCCCTATGCCATCACAAACGCAGGTGGCAGCCAGCATTAATTGTAGAATACACGAGGTGGGTTGCTGCTGTCTCCGTGGGACTTTTCCTGGCTCACTTAGGAAATCTGATGTTTTCGATGTGGTGTCTGGCATTTGCAGCTCTTTCCACAAGAGGACACTGTGCACCATGACTGTTGTCCCTCATGCTCTGAGTCAAGGCCGGGACTCAGGACCGTTGTGAGGCCCTGAGAGCCAGGCTGCGGTCCTGCTGGAATTCCCGGGGCGGCGGAAAACAGTGAGAGGAGCCGGGTGGGTCGGGGCGCAGGAGACTGACCGGCAGACAAGTGAGGCAGGGTGGCTGCTTGTATGCCGGAGAGGGGAGGGGACTGAAAAGTTCCTGCCATGCCTACAGCTGTCCGGAAGCAGCCGCAAGGCCCTGGAAGGTAACCGTCAGGGACTTCACAATACTACAAGAGGCCGTTTAAAGGCCTGCAGTATTTACATAGTCATAGATGCACTAAAGGGGAGGGACTTCCAGCAGCGGATTTGTCGCAGGTGTTATGAAAAAGCCGTCAGTATTTTATTAGATGATTTTTCAACGGCTGCAATTTGAAAGCAACTCTGGGCTACACGTGGCGAATGAAGACGTGTCTGATTGTGTGTGGCAATGTCCCGTCCCCGCCCTGGCCCCACTCGCTCCCTGGTAAGGGTGCGCTTGAGAGAGGCAGTGGCCCGCCTTCTGAGGACACCACAAAACAACAATCTGAAAATGCACCTCCTTGAGGCCTGACGTAGGGCAGGCGGACAGGATGGACACGTGGCCGATGATCGCTCTGGCATCCCCTCGGTGGCATTCCTCCGTTCACCATCTGACTGTGTACCGCCTCTCACGTCTNACCGTCCCTGGCGGGACGGGGCCCGCATTCCTCCGTTCACCATCTGACTGTGTACCGCCTCTCACGTCTAGTCCCTGAGATCTCAGGTGATTGCAAAACACAGCGCAGCGGTCAGCAGCCCCGCAGGGCGTGACCATCACGACGGCGACAGCAATAAGCAGGACAGCCGTCGTGATGATCAAACAGCCCTGTGCTCTGAGCGCCTGGCGTTCGTGCCGGGCACTGCGCTGCCCTGGGGAGAGGCTTCCCCTCGCTTAATGCTCACAGTGATTTTAGGAGGCCGGTTTCCCATTTTGGAGATGAGGACACTGAGGGTACAGACAGGTTAAGGACTGCGCCCGGGATCTCCTGTGTAGGGAGCGGATGGGTCAGAACGTGAACCAGGCCGTTCTGCCCGGGCCTGGCCCGGGTCCACGCGCAGCTCTCGCACTTGGACCTGAGTGTGTTAGGCCAGGGGAGGAATTCGGGGCGGCTCACTGGGACCCCGTCTCCTGCCTGCTTTCCCCTCCCCCTGGCCAATAGCGCTCACGCCAGCTGCTAGTGGGATTCACGGAAAAAAACTCCTATATTTTTCTATAGAATCAGTGTGTGTTTATTATAGAAAAATTCCAAAACAGAGGTATAAGAAATGGTTTTAAAATTACTCACAATCCTATTGTCCAGAAGCAATTCTTGTTATTTAAGTCTGCCTATCCTTACATGGGGAGCTTCACACAGATACACACAGATGTGCCCACGTATGCATTTTATGAAATTCGGATTATAACAAGTGTTATCTTGTAGCTTGCTCTTCTNCGGGGAGCTTCACACAGATACAGATGTGCCCACGTATGCATTTTATGAAATTCGGATTATAACAAGTGTTATCTTGTAGCTTGCTCTTCTCAGCTGACGCTATTCTGAAGATGATTTCTGCGAACAAATACTAGCCTAGGACGTTTGTGTTTCCTTTGCTTAAAAAAGCTTCTAATTGAAATATAATAAGGGCAGCAAAGTACGCAAGTCGTGGGCATGCGGTCTGATGACTGTCACGCGGCATACGCGCCTGGGCCTCACGGCCCACCTGCAGAACCAGGGCGCTGCCAGCACCCCAACCCCCCCAGGCCTCCCGATCACGGCCGCGCCTCCGCAAAGTCTTCCGACATCTCGCCCCACGTCTCCGGAGATTAGGCTCATAGGAACTTTATGTCAATGAAGGCATATTGCGTCTGCTCATTCACCGGGGCCTCCTGAGCTTCCTGCAGTGAGACTAGCCCGCACCGCTGCTCATGGTCGCTTTCCAGGTGGCCTGGGATCCCACTGCAGAGATGAAGGGCCGTTTATTTTACTAGTCCCCTATGGTTGGGCACCTGGGTTGTTTGTGGTTTTTGCTACTGTAACTAGCTCATGAATGAATGTTCTTTCAAGAAAATCTTTGCAGGTCTCCTAGATTATCTCCCTATAATAAATTCTTAGTGGTGGAGCATGAATATTTAAAAATCTTTGGATATCCATTGCCAGACTTCCTGTCCCTGGGAAGCTGCGCCAATTTTTGCTTTATTTTAGAGGTTGCCTACTTTTTCTGTAGAGGGTCAGACAGTAAATATTTTCGGTTGTGTGGGTCACATGCTCTCTGTCACTGCTACTCAACTCTGCCGTTTTAACAGGAGAGCAGCCATAGACAGTATGGAAGCAGGCAGGTGTGGCTGTGTTTCAATAAAACTTTATTTATAAAAAGAGATGGTGGGCCAGATTTGGCTTGAGGGCTACAGCTTGCCAACCCTGCTTTATTTGGTCGCTGGTTTTAAGGCTTGAGTGCTGACTTGGGAGTGGAGTCCACACGCCCCTCACGGTGAAGTTCATCTCTCCGTATAGTGGGAGTGTGGGAGCGCACAGGCTGTCCACAGCCATGTGGGTGGCTGTGAGTGTCCCTCCTGAGGCTCGCCACCCACCAGAGCCAGCCACTGAGCTGCGGCTTGTGGTAAGTGCAATGTGTGAGAATGCTCTGGGCAGAGCAGCGTGAACTAAACATCCCTCGCCGACTAACATTTGGTTTTTTAAAATGGTCTGATTCTAGGAAATCTGAAAATGTGAAGACAAACAAAGAAACTTTTGAGCCAGACTTAAAAAGCGGAAATGAAAACTATGGATTCAGTTCGGGTGAGCTGATAACCACACGTGAGTGTCTTTACAGGCGTGGGAGGATGTTTACAGATGCAGCCCAATTTTGAAAAGCCTTGTTGAGCATCTCAGTGTCTTACCTTGAGGAGATGCAGTCCTAATGGGGGCACTTCTCCGAAGGCAGGGTCACCAGTAAGAGGCAGGGGCAGGATTTGAACCGAGATCCTTTTGTGAGGCAGACAAATTCCTCCTTTGCAGTTGGGGAGGGAGACCTGGCCCTCATAAATTGTCTGGCAAAACAAATCCCGCAAAAAGATTTTTAGTTAATCAAGTCTTGCTGAGAGGCGTGAAAAACAGTTTTTCCCCCACTAAAATTAGGACTTAATTCTCAGCAGCTGCATTCTTTTCTTTTGGCCATGGCTGCTTCCCCTGGACATTGCGAATGCATGCTTCCGATCTTAAGGACCTCCACAAAGCATCGGCTGCTTCCTTTGATAATCTGACCTCAGCTTCTTGCAACATTTCCTGTGGGCAAATCTAGCAGCTTGACCAGCATCACAACCCAAACGTCCCTGCTCCTTCCCCCATCTGCCCTGTGCTGGGTTATTTTCCTCGGTGAATAGTTAAAGCTGTGGATTCACCTTGTCTCTGGCTGAGACAGGAGTGTCAGGAAAGGAGCTGAGTTCGAGCCTGTTCACCATATTTTTATTTCTTTAGAAAACTTAAGTTCTAAAAGTATGTAACCTCCAGGGAACTTCAGAAACAGTCTGTGTATGGTTAAGGACTATTTTATGCCAGGGGTACCGTATTAAACACAACTGCGTTTCTCTATGAATCAGAATCGTTGGGCTGTGTAGCCTGGATTTGTCATGTGTCACTCTAACGCCATTCTTCTGTTGCAGAGACCCAGTCTCTCCCTCCGAAGTCTTGCGAGCCCGGCGTTCCCAAGCAGCAGAGCCCCAGGCAGCCTCAGCAGGTGATTCAGATCGTCCCCCCCTTTTTGGACTTTATCAGCCATTTAAAAATCCTTGCCTTGTGGTTTTAGGTGAATGATGTGAGAAGGTGGCCTCTGCTCACCTCCAGGTCCACTGGTCACCCTGGAGGGAATGGGGCCCGGGCATGTGGTGTCGCTTGTCCTTTGTAGTGATTTTGGGGGGGAAAGACTAGGAGTTTAACCGGGGCTTTTAGATCCTGAGGTGTCTGTTAGACACCCCCACAGAGGTGGCGAGTGTGCAGCGGGGGCAAGCCTGGAGTTCCTGGGAGAGGCACACATGTGCATGTTGCTGGTTGTCAGGCCGATTCTGAGGGCACGGTGCTGTCCCTCTAAAGGACGTCCACTTAAAGAAAACAGCCACTTAGGAACCGTGAGGACACAGTATTTAATTTTCTGACACAGAGTCAACGCCGGTTGCCACACATGAATGAATTAGGGTTTATATGCAGAAAATAGGATTCTTTTTATCCAAAATCATACTGGGCAGAATAGATGTCACCAGCACCAATTCCTGACCTGTAAAAATACAATTTTATTTATTTATTTATTTATTTAAATATATCTTTATTGATTTCAGAGAGGAAAGGAGAGGGAGAGAGAGAGAGGGAGAAACGTCAATGATGAGAGAGTCATTGATCGAGCCTGCAACCTGGGCATGTGCCCTGACCGGGAATCGAACCCCGATCGCCTGGATCCTAGGCCGATGCTTAACCACTGAGCCACGCCCGGCCGGGCAGAAATACAATTTTAAATGCGATTATGTTTTTACGATCCCGCGATGGTGTCCCCAATAAGAACGGGCGCTCTTCCCTTCTGGCTGGTGGAAAGCCGGCCTCGCAGGCGCTCGGATGGCCCGGCCTGTTCCCTGGAGGGGTCGCCTTAGCCTCCGTCCTGCTGGGGGACGGCGCCTCCGCAGCCATCGCTGTCTCGGCGCAGACTGCACGGGGCTCCCAGGCAGCCCCGGCTGTAACCCTCCTCCCTGCCCTTGGGGTTCAGCTCAGGCCACACGTCTTGCCAGCTCTGGGTGCCCCGCGGCCCCGGGGGCACGGGAGCCCTGACGGGTGCTCAGCCGTGTAGCAGGAGGACCTGGCTGATGTGCCCGTGGCAGCCAAGGTAGTCGGGCAGGAAGACATACGAGGGGTCCTCGGCACAGAAGGAGATGGCCTCGGTGACAAACTGTGAGCTTGAGCCATTTTCTCCAGCCGTGTCAGGAAAATGGAGAGGCACAGGGCCTCCCGTCAAGCTGCTCTGTCTTGGTGCATTTAATCCGGCGCCGGGAGGGATGGCTGCAGAGGCGCGACAGGTCCCCTTTCTAAGGGCCGTTCTCTTGACTGAGAGGTGGCGGGGAAAGCGAGCCATCGCCAGCCAGGCTGTGCAGGATGTTGCCTGTCACCCCCCATGACTGAGCCTGAGTGGGGTCGTGGGGTGATGAAGGGGCTCTCTCCCACCCAGCACCAAGCACGGTCACCCAAGAACATGTTCAAGCCAACCATTACCCCTGTGGCTTTCCTGTAGTTACCTTTCTCTGCCACTCGGCTCTCCCCAAGACCAGCTGATGTGCTGGGGTCTGGGGGTGGGGGGGCAGGCGGGAGGAGGTTCCGAGGGGGGTCCTATCAGCCCATTCCGAGTTTCAGAACTCGGAGTGGACACTTCTTAAGCTTCAAGTGTTGTTTGGAAGATGCACAGGGAGAGAAATTTAAGAAGTTTCTGCTACTTAAGCATGTAACCAGCTAAATAATCTATGGTGGAAACAGAACAGTGGCCACGATGCTGGGTCCAGAGGGCTGGGAACACCCCCCCCAGTGTTTCCTGAAGTGTTTGTTTGTAAGGCTTCCAGGGGCGTCGTGCACCTCAGCCTAGGGCTCTGGGTCCTTAAGGAGCAAACAGGGTGCAAGGAACTGTTTCTGCCTGGGCTAGAAACTCCCAAAGGGTTTTGAAATAGCTGGATTTTTCTTCTTTGAGTGGGGGACTTGGGACGAGTGGTTCTGAAGAGGTCCATCTTTGATCACTAAGCAAAGGGCACCTTTGCAGGGACGGGCCCAGGCACTGTGTGCAGGTGCCCCTTTGGAGAACTTGTACTTGAGATGCACCGTGGGCTATGCTTCTTGTGAGGCACTGAAAGGAAAGGTCAGGCCTGGGGGCCTGGTAGCTCCCTTCTGCGCCCTTGGCCCAAAGAGTACACGGTCCTGCACGTGGTCAGCTGGCCACAGGAGAGCCTCCAGGTGGCCAAGCCACAGCTTGTAGAAGCAGGTCAAGGTGACCTTAGGACAGAGGTTCCTTTCAGAGCTTCCCGAGGCCAGGCCTGCAGCCCTGGTCTAAGTGGCCTTGTCCTTGCTCTGCGCAGGCTGATGAGGACCTTCTTTAGAAGTCACAAGGCCACCGTGCCAGGACAACGCCATCTGCGCCTTCTTTTCTCTTAACCTCTCCCCATTCTGCAGTGAGCCTTGCTCCCTGAGGGGCCAGGAGAGGCAGCTGAGAGCTCTTCAAAGCCCCGTCCCCTTCTTTTCATCCTGGCCTCCTCTCCGCGTGCCTCCGTGTGACTCCAATTTGCCACTTTGCCGCCTGCACTGCTGCTGGCTGGGTGGGGGTGTTTCCATGCACCCAGAGGGGCGCCTGCCCGAGAGGCTGGTTGCTGGAGTTCTGGGTTGTTGACCACAGATTACACAATTCTGCGGAAACTGTGCGGTAGGATCGGGCCCTGAAAGGTCTGTAGGTTAAACCGAGCGATCTCGGGCTGTGACTCAGTCTGCAGCAAAGGCGCGGCCCAGTCTTGTCCCGGGGAGTTGCTTGGGTGAGATGCATGTCCTGTCTGTGGAGACAGCAACTACAGCTCCGGCTTTGTGGTGACAGGTCTCAGAGCAGGTGACCTTGGTTTTGTCATCAGCACAGTGACTGCCCGGTACCTGCATTTGTTCTGCCGTCACTCCAGCTCTCCTACCTGCTTGGCCCGCTGGTCTCACTCGCCCTTGGCCTTTCCAGAAGGTCTTAACTAGCGGTGGCCACGGACCACCCTCGGCCAGCCCGGTGCTGCTGGGCGCTCCCTGAATAGTTATTCACCAAAGTGGAGAGTGTCCCCAACGCCCGGCTATGCTGTCACGAGCAGGGTGATGCAAGGAGTGTGTGTGCACGGAGACAGGGTGCCTTTGCTGATAATCACAGTCCAGTCGTGACAAAAATATTAGCCTGGCGTAGAGGGATATGCGGTGTAAAAATAACATTAGGTTTCGGGTCACTGACGAAACGTACGTCATCTGTGTGGAGCTGCCGTTTTGTTCCTTAGGGGTCTTGGGTACTTTGGTTTTCTTCAAGGGTTTCCCGTTCAAATGTGATCCAAGGAAGGGGAAACCTGGCGGGCCAGGGGCTGCCAAAGGAGTGGTCTTGGTGGCCGGTGGGAGCTCCGATTCCTGGTCCCGCCTATGACCTCCCTCGGGAGAGGTGGGCGGCAGCCTGGGCGTCTGTGTTTTAGTCCTGACAGGCGCTGGCTTTAAGGGTTCTTGGCGGCCCTCTAGCGAGGTGAGGGTGGGGGGCTGCTGGGACAGAGGGGGCCGTTGCCAAAGATCAACGCGTCTACTTTATAATGTCTCACCGCCCAGTAATTGCCATCCCGAGTCCGGCGCATTCACGACGCGTGTGCTGAGCACGCGGGGGAGGATTGCACCCCACCCTCCCCGGGGCGGGCGGTGCCTGGACTCTTGCTGGACTCGCGTGGACTCCTCCCCTGAGCCCCGGGCCCGTGGCCTGCGCCATCTCAGCGCTGGGCAGGTGTCTGAGGGGCAGGCAGCGTTTCTGGGTGACC